CTGCAAATACTATAAACTGCCCAACATTTTGAGTCCAGTACACACACACATAATTGTATTCCCAGATTTTTTCCTTCCTGCCATAATTTTAAGGTACTGTGTGACCTGTGCTGTAACTCTGCTTTATTACAAAGTGTGTATTTGTCAGAGCTGAGAAGAATTTGGGTTAAAGGGAATTGGATATTTCCATTTCCTTGTTTCCAAGGCGTGTTGCAACAGCTCCTGATGTCAAATCCCCTGCAAAGGAATATGTGCCACCTGTGCCCACGCTCTGGGGCAGGGCAAGATTCTCTGTGAGTTAAATCTGCTGCTTTGGAGGTCTCTAAGTCCTTTGGCTCATAAGATGCTTATTAATATATGGACCATGGATTTCCCAGTGTTAAAATAACAATTTCAGTGGTTAATGTGGAGAAATGAGTTCCCAATTAAAGTCTTTGCTAACGGAGAGGACTTTGCCTTGGCCAGGCTGTGCCTGACATGAGGCGTTGCCACCTCTTGGGCAGGTGCAGCTGGGATGTGAATTTGTTTAAAACCTGCAATAATTAAAAGCTTGGTAGTGTAGCTGAGGACTGTGAAAGCTCTGAGTCCATCTCTGAGTTCAGTATCCCAGAATTTTGGTCTGTGCTGTTCCTACATTTACATCTCAGCACTGGCAAGGGCACAATCCGACTCAGAAGTCAGAAATACAGTTATTTCTTTGTGCAAAGCCTTCCCTGAGAGTTGGTACTGGAGACGAGGAGGGAAACAATCCCAGCCCTGGCTATGAGCAAAGGCAGGGCTATTGAGGATCTTTTGTTTCCCAAACAGACAAGGTAAACAGCATTCCCAGCCAAGCTGGGTCTCCGTGACATCCCTGCCCTGGCACACAAAGGGAGACCGGGGTGAAAAAGGGGAGCCAGGTAATTTTATCACTTTTTACCTTTGGCTGTGCTGAATTTCCAGAGGAGCACAAAGGAGGTGTTTCTTAGCCCGGGGCAGAGGCACCCGCAGGTCCTGACAAAGGAGCTCCTGGAGCAGGGCTTGGAGTGGGGCCATGCTCCATTCCCGGGGTGACACCCGAGGGAATATGTTTTACACTCCAAAAAGGCTTCAAAAACCAGCCCCAGTGTGGGAATTCAGCCCACAACTCACGTGCTGGAATTCTGCTCTCTCCCATAAATCCCTACGTGATGCTGGTGTTTGAAATGTGCATTTAGGGGCTCCCGAAATGACTGAGTCCGTGGAATGGAATGGGCACCGTGAAGTTCTTACAGTCCTTAAATAACTCCCTAAATGGGTATTTTTGGGGAATGGGAGCTTTTGGATCTTTCTGGCCATTACACTTTAAAGGGCAATGAATCTCTATTTAGGTGCAACTGTGCTGCCATCCTGCAGATTTAGGGAATTTGAAGCAACATATGGTGGAAGGTTTGTGGGATCACTGGCACAGACTGATGCAGGGTTTTTCCCATCTCATTTTCCCCTTGATATCTGAATCATAATAACATTAAATGTAATGATACTGATCATTTAATTCCTTTGCATCCACTGGAAATCCCTATGGCAGTATTTTTCTGCAGTCAAGCATTTAAAATCCTACACGAGGAACATCTCCTTTCTTCACACACGTGACTTGTTTAATTTTTACACCACGCGGGATTTAAAGTTCTCGTCACAAATGAACTCCCTCTCCCCCAAATTTAAGCTGAAAACAGAACAACTCTAAAAGCAAAATCCAAAGATATTTTTCTTTCAGTTTTAGGTTTTATTTCTGTCAAGCATTTTGGTCATTGGAAAAAAATTATAAACTAGAATCCAAAGTTACTCTTAATAAGTGGAATTTAACAGTTCTCACCCTTCTGTGGGTAAATCAGGATACAGTGGGAAAGGAGGAAAACAAGGGGCCCTGGACAGTGAGGCCCAAAAAAGGAAAATGGGAATAAATTGGAATTATATCTTGGATTGATTAATTATCTATTCCGCTGCTCATATAGAAATATTCCCTCCCCTAATCAGCAGCACAGCAGAGAATTTTCACTTCACTCTGTTTTCTGTTTGGCTCAGTTGTTTTGTGACAATGAACAAAGAAAACCAGAACACATTGCAGTGCTTCAGAAAATCAGGTTATTGGGGGGTGTGTGTGGGAGGGGCTCTTCCAGAAGGCTGCTAGATCCTGGGAAATCTGTGAGAAATGGGAATTGTGATTTCCTTTTAACACTTTTTACTCAACTCAAGCACAATTTAATTCCACGTTCCCCACTTCTGTGTGAATATTCTCTTTTCCTGCTTGCCTACTTGAGCATTAATACTTAAATTATCTAATATTGCAAAACTGGCTTCTTTTCTGTGCTGCTTTGGTTTTCACTCTTTTCTCCTGGACTCTGCTCAAGCTAATGGACAAATTCCCTCTGAGTCTGGTGGTACCGTGTGAGGTTAAAGAGGAGCTTCCCTAAATCCCCAAAAAACTGCTGTTGGGGGAAGATCCCAAACCCATCCCATGTAAAGAGCAGCCTCCCAACCCAGGGAAGTGTTTGAATGTCCCCAGGTATCGATGTCACCTTGCTCCTTTCAGGGGACTTTGCCAATCCCCCCCTTCTCTCCTCTGCTGGCTCTTATTGGCCACGGGAGCAGCTGTTCCCCAAATAAAACTGATTCTCTCCCAAAATAAGATTGTCTTGTTCCAAGTGCCATGGAGGGGGGGTTTTCCTGGGAGCAGGAGCGTTTATAAGGTAGGAGAGAGCACACCCTGGTTGTTCAGGCATCAGGACGGGTATTTGTGAGGAACTTGTAGAATTTAAGACGTAGTGGCAGTGGGATTTGACCCCAGAAAAATGACTTGCTATAAGGAATCTATGGCTACATGAGGACTGGCTTTTTTGCTCTCCCATATAAGGACTAGAAATAATTAAATAACAGAAAATGCAATCTTGATATCTAAATAATCTCCTTGGTATCTAAAACTGGCAGATGGGGGTTAAATACCTGTCGTGAACTGGAGTATCTAAATACTAGAATTTTAGGGAGCAGATAAAAGAACAAGTGTATTATTCCCACGTCATTATGGGATATATGTAAACAGTTAGGAGGTATTTAAATCCAATTAAATATAGATGTACTGAGTGAGGTGGCACTGCAGCAAAGTTTAATTCTTCCTGCTTTGTGTCCACCGTGAACCACAATCTTTCCTAGTGGGGGAGATTCAAATGAATGATTTTAAATTCAGTGGTGATGAGTTAATGGAAAGAAAAAGTCCAGAATTTCAGTTTTATTAAAATGCTTTTATATAGAATCACAGAATGGGTTGGAAGAGACCTTAAAGATCATCTCAGTCCAACTCCCCTTCCATGGGCAGGGACACCTTCCACATATGAGAGAATAATTATTTTAGGAACAGTCTTGCCCCTTATAATGAAAATCTGTTTAATGATTCCTTGCTCTGAGCATGTTATTTTTTAAACAGACCAGTAAGGTATAATTTTGTTATTAATTATATTTTTCCAGTATTTAACAGCAATCCATCAATCTGTCTATTTAACTGGAGTGTGTCTGGTTTAGAGCTTTGCAGCAGAAGTGGGGTGTGACAGCAAAACACAGAAATTACTGGGATTTGAGAACTGATTTACCACTTCCCATAAAGTTCCTTGATCTTTAAAGTCATAAGTTCTTTCTGTGTGGAATTTATGTTTTTGTTTTACTTATCTCCAGCAGTGGCAGGACACTCCTGCATGAGTATATTATTCAAAAGGAGAATTTTAACCTTTACTGGAATTGAGGGGGTGAAGAATGTGTTGAATGACAACAGCGACCACTGGGAATTTTATGTGGATATTCAGTTTTCGACTACATGATTTGGTTTTGTGTGAAAATGGAAAAAAAGAAAGCCACCACCCTTTCCTCTAAAACTGAATTCTTAAAGATGGAAAGATTCTAATCCTGCAAATGCCTGATTTGGAATGGGATCTCCTTTTGTCCCCTGGATGGCAGGGATAGTTGGAATACCTCCTGGAGACTTTCTTGTGCTGTGGCTGTAGGGAAGGTTGGGTTACAGGTTCAGCAAGAAAGGGACTCTGTTCTGTTTGTATTTACGGCTTTAAAAAAGAAACAAAGATGCTTTTTATGACAAGTCACCTGAGAGGCATCACCTGTTCTATAGGAAAAAAATAATGTCCTTTTTACTGTGTTCTTTTTTCCTGGTTCAGCTGAATCAACACCTTAAAAATCAAAAGAACAGATGTGACAGTTTACACTAAAAAAATGGAAGTCCAGAAAATCAATCAGAAAAAAAAAATCAAGGTGAAATTTTTGGAATATTTGGTGCTTGATGCTTTGATTCAAAAATACTTCATTTTGGGAAACTCGATGTGTCATTTTGTTTCCATTTGTTCTTTTGGAGCAAAGCTTTATATAAATTGTGCAGTTGTGTAGGACTCTGAAATTATTACTGATTTCTATTGGTATCCTTCCAGTGCCTAAAGGGGGCTTGCAAGAAAGTTTGGGAGAAACTTTTCAGAAGATCATGGAGTGATAGGACAAGGGGGAATGGCTTCAAGCTGAAAGAGGGAAAATTCAAGTTAGATATTGGGAAGAAATTCTTCCCTGTGAGGCCCTGGCACAGGTTGCCCAGAGAAGCTGTGGCTGCCCCAGCCCTGGAAGAGTCCAAGGCCAGGTTGGAGCAACCTGGGTTAGGGGAAGGTGTCCCTGCTCATGGCAGGTCCTTTGAGGTCCTTAAGGTCCTTTACAACCCAAAGGTCCTTTAGGTTCTTTAAGGGACCTTTAGGTCCTTTAAGGGACCTTTAGTTCTAAGGACCTTTAAGGTCCTTTAAGGCTTTAAGGGCCTTTACAACCCAACTTGGCCTTGGACACTCCCAGGGATGGGGCAGCCACAGCTTCTCTGGGCACCCTGTGCCAGGGCCTGCCCACCCTCACAGCCCCAAGGCTCAGTCCTGTGGCTTTGTGGGGCAGAGGCAGAGGGTGTTTTGAGGGATCTATTGTTGTGTTTGTGTTTTCCCACAGCTGCCAGGATGTGGAGCTCCCCGGGGCCCGTCTGGGTGTTCCTGGCTCTGGCCGTGGCCGTGTGTGCAGGGCTGAAGGTGACCCCGGCCGTGAAGTACACGAAGCCAAAGCCCCCACAGCTGGTGGCCTCTCGCCCCCCTCCCACCCTTCTCCCGGGGAAAATCCCAGTCCTGGCAGCTCCAGGTGGAGCCGAGTCAACCCCCCCGAGCCGAGGGGCCACCACAATGTTCCCCTTTGAGAACTACACCCTGGACACGGCTGAGTTCTTCTTCAACTGCTGCGACTGCTGCCCCCCTTCTGCGGGGCCCCGGGGGCTGCCGGGGGAGCAGGGACCCCCAGGTACGGGGATCACCCTCTCACTACCCTCACAGACACCAAACCCAGGAGCTTTTCCTTCAAGAAATGATTTGTGTGCAAAATGAGGGGAGACGTCACAGCAAACTGCAGCTTCCTCGTGAGCAGTGGAGGGGCAGCACCATCTCTGCTCTGGGGGGACCAGGGACAGGACCCAGGAATGGCTGGAGCTGTGTCAGGGAAGGGTCAGGTTGGATCTCAGGAAAAGGTTCTTCCCCCGAGGCTGGTTGGGCACTGCCCAGGCTCTCCAGGGCAGTGGGCACAGCCCCAAGGCTGCCAGAGCTCCAGGAGGGTTTGGCTGATCCTCTGAGGCACAGGGGGTGACAGCCTGTGCAGGGCTGAGGGTTGGACTCTGTGATCCTTGGGGATCCCTCCCAGCCTAGGATATTCTATGATTCAATGTAATGCTGAATGGGATCACACCTTGCGTAAATCCAGAGCAAAAAAAGTGCATTCTGGTCACATCCCAGGAGTTATAAACCACCAAAGCGAGTAGGAAGGCTCCCAAAAGGAGCTCCCTCCCATGGGATCACACTGGTGTGGGACTCGAGCAGAGCTGGCCCTGTCCCCCATCCCTGCTGGCAGGTGGCCACACTCTTCAATTCTCTGTCCCTGTGTCTGAGCCCTTGGGAGTCACAGATTTACTTTCCCAGTCACTCCAACCATGGCTTGTGAGCCTCAAAACTACCTTGGAGCAGTTTTGCATCTTTGCTGAAGGTTTGTAATAAACCCTTCTCTTTTTTTCTCTTTTTTTTTTTTTCCCCATTGGAAAAGAGGAAATTAAGTACAGGAATAATTTTGGTTTCGAGCCCAAAAATAAATAAATAAAGGACCTCTCACAAGAGGCAGCTCTTTATAAATATTTCATAAAACACACTTTGTCTCTTCTTTCTACTGCTAAAATACACCTTATTCTCATCCTGCTCGAATGAATAGTGCATTAGTCTGCAAATGTTCACTTTAAGAGCACTAATATTGGAGAGAGAAACTGTTCAGCTGAAGAAAGGTGATAAAATCATGAAATAATTCTCCTTTAATACAATATACTCCAGGGATTCTCACTTCCCATGGCTCGGGAGGGATTGGCTGATGGAAGTTTCAGTGGCTGCAAAGGGAGTTTGATTTCTTATGTCTCTGGAGTGTTGATGGAAAAGTCCTTGGGATGATTGAATCTGCCACAATCTGCTCCCAGACATTCACTGGGAGTCTCTAAAATTCCCAGGTGGATGTAAAAATGAAGGAAAGATTGGAGCCAACTTGCTTGCCTTTCAACCCATCCTTTCTGCAGCGAGGAACTGTCAGCCAGGTGCTGACTTCCATATCTGCAGACTTAATTCTCTTTAAGGAGAGGGCCAATTCCGAAGCTATGGGAGCTCCTTAGATGCACTCAGATATTAAAAAGTGATTACTTCTGAAGTTTTATCACTGTCTGAGCTCCCGTGGCTCTGAGGCAGCTCAAAGTTGGTTTTAAAAAGTCTTTAACTATGGCCAAGGGTGAAATGCAGAACTGTAAGATTTGTACTGGTTGTATGATGTCAAATAAAACACCCAGCTCTTCCCAGAGTGATGGAAGCCTCTTCCACACACCCCCCAGTGCCAGGTTGCTCAGCAATTATTGCAGATGTTATTTATAAAGTGAAACCTTTGAGTTACTGAGATAATTTTGTTCATGTGGTTGTGTTTCAGGTCCCAAGGGGGACAAGGGAGATGATGGTCTGCCAGGTCTGCCAGGAGCTCCAGGCCCTCAAGGTCCAAAAGGTTCTAAAGGAGAGAGAGGTAAAGCAAATGCTGTTGTCCTCATCAATTACCACAAAATTTAAAGAAACCATATTTTTCCAAGAGAAAGGAGTGTCCTGATAGGGATTGACACCTGGAGAGGTTTAGGGGGCATTAGTGCAGGGGCAATAACTCAGGTGCATGTTCAGGTAGTATAAGAGCAGCTGCTCATGAAGATATCAGTGGATATCCTTGTTCTGAATAGTTTAAAAACTGAGTTCAGTTTGCTTTGGATGAGGGACATAAGTGGGAAAATCCATCATGCAAGCAGGTGTAGAAGCTGCTTTTCAGTTGAAGTGTCTTAGGCAAAATAATTTCAGCTTAGATGGAGAGCAGTTATCACCCATCAGGAGTGACCAAAAGGAAAGCCTGCCCTTCATTTTGGGCTTGGAGCAGCTGATTCCTGCCCCACACACCTCTGGCAGGATCCTGTGGCTGCCTTGGATCGTGGAGAATCCCACAGCAAAGCTGATACAGGGCTTCCAGCAGCAGAATGCTGAGCTGTTTAGTCAGTCTTTTAGGCCTCGATTCCCCTCTGGAACAAGGCTTTTGGCAATCCTGGGATGAGGAATGCTGTCACCTTCTCCATCTTGTCATTAAACGGCAGGAACTGGCTCCCAGTGAGGCAGAAATCCAGCACAAAGTGAGATGGTTCTTGAGGTGTGAGATTCAGCCGAGGGTTCTGAAGGGATTTCTTGCAAACACACACTGCTGGTGTCTGTTCTGTCAGGGAAGTGAGGGACACATGGAAATGATCCCAATGGATTGATTGCTGTGTGATGATTGCTGGCTGCAGACACCAGCACCAAGTAATGAATTCATTAATGGTGAAATGTTCTAGGAGGAAAAGGGGAGCAAGGTGAGCGAGGAGCAAGTGGAAATCCCGGTTATCCAGGCAAACCTGGGCTGCAAGGTACGTAACACAGTCTGGGAAACCAGGAATATTGCCCTGACCTTTCCATTTGCTGTTGGTGATGCCTCTCTGTCTCCAAAACAGTCCAACACTGTTGGTTTCAATTTTCCTGTTCCAGGTGAAGCCGGAGCCAAAGGCAATAAGGGCAACTACGGCTTCCCTGGGCTGAAGGGCCAAAAGGGGTCCAAAGGGGACACTTGTGAGAACGGGACCAAAGGAGCCAAGGGGGACAGGGGGGATCCCGGAGACCCAGGAGTGGTGGGAGAACAGGGTGACAAAGGGGAAAAGGGAGACACGGGGGAGAAGGGCTACTGTGGGGAGCCAGGGGGGAGAGGGGCGAAGGGAGACAGAGGGGAAGGGGGGACCAAGGGGGAAAAGGGGAGCAAAGGGGACACGGGGGCTGAGGGGATTCGAGGGGTGGACGGAAAACAGGGAGAAAAGGGTGAGCGAGGAACTAAGGGTGAGAAAGGGGACCTGGGCCCCGCCGGCATGATGGGACCTGCCGGTCCCAAGGGGGTGGCGGGCAGCAAGGGGGGCCGGGGGGCGCCGGGCAAGAAGGGCTCGCGCGGGGCCAAGGGCATGCGGGGCGACCCCGCCAAGGCCCCGAGATCGGCCTTCAGCGCCGGGCTGTCCAAGCCCTTCCCTCCCCCCAACGTGCCCATCAGGTTTGACAGGGTCCTGTACAACGAGCAGCGGGATTACAACCCTTCCACCGGCAAGTTCAACTGCTCCGTGCCCGGCACCTACGTCTTCGCCTTCCACCTGACGGTGCGCGGGCGGCCGGCGCGCGTTGGCCTCGTGGCGCGCACCAGGAGGGTGGCCAAGGCCAGGGACACCGTCCACGGGCAGGAGATCGACCAGGCCTCCTTCCTGACCATCCTGAAGCTCGGTGCAGGAGACCAGGTGTGGCTGGAGGTGGCGCGGGACTGGAACGGGGTCTACGCGGGCGCGGAGGACGACAGCGTCTTCACGGGCTTCCTCCTCTACCCGGATGTTCTCGAGGTCCTGAGGTAGATTTAGAGGGAGAAGGTGCCTTCTGTCAAGTGCAGATACCCTTCCAGAAGATTTGTAACGAGGAGATTAGGCCTTGTTTCGCTTAGGAAGCCTTTCCTGCCTAAGAAAAAAATACCTTTGTCAAAGATAATTTGGATGTTTTCTCCTCTTGCGTTCCAGAGGAGAGTTACAGCCTCTGTGGTGGGAGGAGAGATAAACTCACACAGGCTACAGGGGAGGGCCTGGCAAAGATAAAAAAGCCCTGAAGAGAACAGGAGGTGCTTTTTGCAGCACTGCTAGGAGTTTTTCCCTTGTAAGTGCAGTGTTCTGGACTTTGGAATAAATTTTCCAGAACTCCTTCCGCTGCTTGACATTTTGGGGGTACCTGTGTGTTATCTTACTTCACAGTGTCACTGGAAAACAGGATTTTCCCTGTGCCTGCGAGAGGAGAAATGACCATCAGTCAGTTTAGTGGCTGCTTTTAATTATATTTTCACAAAAATGTTTATATTTGCAATATTAGTTGGTTAGAGCAGGGTGCTGGTAACACCAAGCTTGTGGGTTTGATCCCCATTCACTTAAAAATTGGACTTGATGCTTGTGGGTCCCTCCCAACTCAGAATATTCTGTGACTCTGTGAATATATGGATTAGTTTTAACTGGCAGCCCCAAGAAGTGACATGTCCTTTGTGATGGTTGAGAGGAACCAGCATCCAAACCCCAGCAGGACCAGCTTGGAAAGGGAATTTCCCATCCCAGGCTCCAGGTTTGTAATTGGCCTGTTCAAATTACGTAAAGAAACTCATGGCCTGACTGTAATTTTAATCCTGCAATCCTCCCATGGTCCAAACCCCACCAGGAATTGGTTCTGATAATCTAAAAAAATAAAAGTGTTGGTAAAGATTGCAGAGTTTGATTTATAGAGCTCAGTCAGATGTGAACATGAGCAGTAGGTTTCTTAAAATCACATGAAAAGATTTAAAGCTATTTTATCTTTGAATCAGTATTATTTAGTACTTTAGACATGGTCACGAATTATATAAAGGTTTGTCTAAAGGAGTATTAAAGTTATTTAGAGAGTTTAAAAAAAAACACCCCAAAACTATTGTTCTTTGACACAAATAAATCTGAAACTTTCAGAAGTACTGAGAGGTGCATAATTCACTTTATTAGTCTACTGAAAATTCCTGTTTCTGAGCTCCTGATGGGGCAGTGATGTTGTGGGATCATCCCTTGGCTGCTGGGAGGATGAGGAGGCAGCCAGGGAGACACTTTGGCACTCACACCAGTCCTGAGGGGTTGTGGTGGCCCAGAGGGTCTGTGAGCATGTTTTTAAAAAGCTGATTTACCAAAATCTTGTGAAATAAAATATGACATTAAATAACCTCTGGCTGTCACGTTGGATATATTTCCTTATTAACTCACCTCCTCTCATCGGAGGAACTTTACACCAGCTTTGGCACATTAACTATGACACAACGACAAAATTGTCCCAGTTGCTGGTTTTCTTTAGAAATAAAGCTCAAGTGCCATGGTTAGGGACTGGGATTTACTTGTTTTCTCGGGCAGTTGCAAACCAGGGATGTTTTCCCAATGCTGGGACGAATTTTGGGTCTGATCCCAACACTCCCAGGGTGAATTAGGCAGCTCTTCCAGTTGGTTTCCTTGTTTAAATCAGTTCTCACACTGTATTTAAACATCACCATAAATCGTGAAGTTTTCAAAAAAATCCCTCATTTTGATACATTTTTCCTCATTTTTCATGCAGTGAATGAACTGATTGAGGATGTGCTTTGCCTTGTTGCAGAGCACCGCTAAACAAAATAAAAAGCTAAAATATTTGTTCCATTTCACTTCTGCTTCTCTTAGGCCAGATTTGTTTGGTAAAAGTGTCTCCTCTCTGTGCTGCAATGGAGCATTTTGACTCTGGACTAAGACAATTAATGCTCAGGGTAATAATCAGAAGAGCAGCTGTTCTCAATAAATGAAATTATTCTGAGCTGACACAAGGCCATTGAAACACCTCCCTTCAGCTGGTTTTCATGCCTTTTCATCCCTACCTCAGATATCACACAGATTAGCACTTATTTCCATAATTTTTTGGGGGGAATTTGTCTATTTTCCTCTTAGAAACATTGTCAGAATGTTCTGATGTTTCTACACCACTACCTTGAGTCTCCCTGAGCTTCTCGCCCTTGTGGCTTTCCAGGTGCTCCCAAGCCACCACTTCCATCAGGAATCTCCCCAGCTGAGCTGGATTTGCCCCAGAACAAAGCCCACCTTTGCATCCTGAGGGTTGGTGGTTGGTTAATAAATGGGATAATATGCCCCAGGTGGGAGTTCTGGGATTATATGGGAGCAGGGACAAGGGTGCGATCCTCACCGAGCTTTTTCTCCTTCCCTCCTGGATGAACATGCTGCATCCCAGGTAGGCAACTGGTTTTTGTTATAGTTTGCTTCAAAATATGGATGTATTTCAGTGAATTCACAATGACTTCCATGTAGGAATTCATAACAGGGTGGAAAACACAATGTAATAATCCAAGTGCAGGTGTTCCAGCTGAAATACGAGTTGTTTTTTTCAGAGACTTGTAATTTTGCTTACAACTCCTCGGCAGGAGAAAGGTGTTTTCCTTCTTGAAAAGAATAAAAGCCACCTTTTGCTGTGAATTAAAGTGGATTATGGTGTGATCACTGCCAGTTATCCAGTGCTTCTAGAATGCTGGAGCTCCTCAGTAGGGGGTATTTCTGAGACAGTGTGGAAGCTGGGATTGTTCTCCAGGTATATTCATTGTTATTGATTCCCAGGAAAAGCTCTGTCACAGTATTTTTTGCAGCTCTGAGGCTGGAGTTTCAGCACTATCCCTTGAAACCATTTCAGCTTTTTCATCATGCAAAATTTTAATTTCAAACCAGAAGGATTTGCTCCTGCTTTGTGTCATGAGGTTGGGTTTCCTATTAATATAACCTGTTAAAAAAGTTCCTGAATTTAGATGTGTTTATTAATAGTTGCAAAGTTTCTTTTGCAGTAGATTTGAATCACTTGGTGCATTTTAATGTCTTTTTTGAATTGCTCTAGTTTTTTGTAAATCTCTTTTAAGCAGAGATTTTCTATCTTCTGGGTGAAGTTCCTCTTGTTGCAGCCAGGACTTTGATCCTTTGCTCCTTTTATAGGAAATATTTCAATAAGATGAAATTCAGGTTGGGCAGAAAATGCACTGGCTTTGTTTTAGCTAATCTTTCTCAGTTTAAGCTTGGTTTTGCAACCTCCAACCCAATCTGCTTTAAGTTTGAGACTCTCCAGTCTCATTTAAAAAGGAAGGAATGAGGAATAACTCATCCTGGAACTGAGATATCTCTGATTTTTTTTTTTTTCCTTCTTTCATGGAACAGGTATTTGCACTTGAGACACTGTGGGTTGGTGAGTGAGGTACCAAGTTAAAGGCTTGGTATCACATTGTGACATTATAGTCCCCAAATCAAGCTAAAAACCACCACTTGAGAGATTAAGCTGCTAAATTATTTTGATTGATGAGGGTTTTTTTCAGTATTTGGTTAAAATGCAACTGTTTCCACAATATTTGAATCTTGGTTTTCTAGAAATCCTTTTTATGGTTGATTGATTTTAAATTAATTATGGGATTATGTCTGGGAGTATTTTTTATTCTTTGTTTTTCCTGGTGGCTGTGGCTGGCAGAGATCACTGTGTAAATCCTGACTTGGGAATGTCATTGTCACCTGTTTTTGTGTTCCTGTTCCTCCCTGTGTGTCCATGATGCTGTGAATTCCAGCACCCAAATTTGGGCTGGGTGCTGGGGCTGGTCTTTGTATTGGTATCAGCATTGCTGTTCAGTTCCTTTTTTTGGTCAATGCAATTATTAATATTTAATATATTTCTTGTGTAGTCAGATGTAAAAAAACCAGTCTGGACTAAAGGTGCAAAGGTGTAGTGGGAGAAGAAGGGAACAAGCAAAATAGGTTGGAATGTCTTATTTTAAAAATATAAATAGTATTTTTTAAATCTGCCAGCTCTGTCCTAATGGCTTTGTGTCTTCTGGATCAGACAAGGGTGGTGTTTTGGGTTCTCCCTGATGGGATTGATTGGATTATAATTCTGTTTCCCTACCTCAGTCTGTCCTTTTTTCCAGGTAGGATTTTTTAATTAGAGAAAGTTTTTGTCTAAAAGTACTATGTTTTGATAACAGACCAGCTTCCAGAGATGTGTGTTTGTGTGAAATATTTTACTAATCAAGAAGAGTTTTAGAGAAGAGCTCAAATTCTTCCTCTTGCTCAATTTGTGAGGGTTTTGGGCCTGTTTCCTCCTGTGTCAGAGCAGCTCAGCAAATCCTTGGATAGTGTTGCTTCTGGGAGAACCAACTTTTCCCTCCCTCACTAGTGCTGGTGAAAAGCTGGGGTTCATTCAGGTGAAAATGAGAGTTTTTATGCCTACTGGGATTTCTTTAGAGCACCTGGGCACAGGAGGGGTAGGGTGCAGCTTGAACACTCATTTTTAGGGTCCCTTCCTGTGTTTGGGGTGGATGATGCACAAAACAGATGAACACTTATATTGTCTTGGAGGGGCTGCCAAAAAAAAAAAAATCAAGATTCCCATTTCTTCCCCGAGCAGCTTTTGATTTAAGTGTTTGATGGGGGACAGATCATCTGAAAAGAGGTTTTATTTTAATTTTCTTTGCACAGGGGTTGCTGTGTGAGGTCTGTTTAAGCCCAGCTCTGTCTGAGGGAGCCAGGTGAGTGTCTGGAAGAAGAGATAAACACAGAGAGCTGATTTTTCTTTCCCTTATGCTCTTCTGGTAAGAGATCAATGTAAATGTGTCTCTTCTGGACAGCATAACTCTTAATTACTCCTCTCTTAGAAGCAGCCACGAGGCAGGAGGGAAGTTGCTGGTGCACCTTTGCTCCCTGCCAGAGGAAACATCTCTTGCTTTATTGCTGAACTGCCTCTATAGTTGCTTCTTGCCCACTTTTATTTCTGTAATTTTTCATTCTATACCTTAAACTTAAGGCTGTTGCTGTCTAATGATAAATCAATTATCAGCAAGTCAAAATTACATCTGTACTGAGTCACCAAAGGGCTGCAAAACTGGAGCTTGCTGTGAGGACCCTGCTCAGAACACAAGCACTGGGGGGGGGGTATTTTAGTAGGATTGTGATTCAAATGGGTGATACTCTATTTTATGGGGCCTGTGGGATATTATGGTCACAATTCTAGTTATCCAAATAAACTCTCTTTGCTCCATAACTGTTTATCAAGCCTTAGGCTGCTCATGAATCTGTGGCTGCCTTAATGTGCTAGTTCATGAGTTTGGTATTGAAAGGGCACCAGCCCAGTCAATAAAGATACCTGTCTCTGTCTCTCTCATTTTCAAGAGTCAATAAAATGCCAGGATAATATGATCATTTTCTGTGAGCTAAATTGTTATTTTTTTTTTCACTCTGACTCTTGCCCTTTTCCCTTTGGTATTCAGCTGTGTAACACAGGGCAGTAAATGGGCTTTAGAGGTGTGAGATTGGGGTTATGGGGAATGGCTTTATAAACAGCAGCTCAGTAATTTAGATGCAAAGCCTGCAGGATGCTGCTGAACACCTCTTGCTGGATAAAACTCTTATCAGTACGTTCAGAAGATTTTTCTCTTTAGTGAGTGAAGCAACTGAGAGCTGTGGAAAGTACAGCTGGAACTGCAGGAGATCTTGGGAATGGGAAGGAACAGAGAAATAAACTTTTACTAAAAACTTGGAAACGTCGTGTAGTTTTTTTGATATAAAAGGAAAATTCTTATTAAACCTGACAAGACCTCTTAAAACTTTGAGTATCTCTGTCATGTGTAAACCACAGCTCTTGAAAATCAGTGTTCCTAAAATTTACTTTCAATTCCAGTTTTTGTTTTTCCTTCTTAAAATCCCCCAAGTAAAAGAATAAAATAACCAGGGATTCATCTGCTTCCAGTGCATCAGGGATCAGTGTTTGGAGCACAGGGCCTCTTAGGGTGGCTGTGGTTGAAAAGGGACTGACCTGAGTGGGTGGTGTGAGGAGATTACTGAGAAACCTTGAGCCCATTTCCCCACCAGAGCGTTCAAAGCATCTCTTAGGGGTTTGTTCCTGGAGTTCTGGAAGGTCTCTGCAGGG